TATATTTATATAATATATACACACACGCACATATATATATAACATATATATATTATTATTATTATATATATATATATATATATATATATATCGTAGTTATCTGTTTCGTGTTTTCTTTCGACTCACCATGACGACGTTCGATATACTTTTTAATCGAAATGTGATATTCATATACAATCATATTCATATTTAAATACAATTATACTGAATTGAGTTATATGGATTCTTTTTTAAAAATCCTATCCGTGAAGTGATATCACCCCCAACGGAGGTGACAGCAATAACTTGGTTGAGTCTATCTCTCTTGCGTCGGGTATAGACGTGCCAAATATCGTTCTGCTGTTACCAAGCGGTCTGTCTGTCGAGAATTGGTGCCAACTAAGGCAGAAAAGTGAGTCTGAACGCTTGTTTTCTGAGATGTGATTGGTATTGTGAGGTGTTAGGCTATTTCTCAATGCGCTTTTGTATCGGACGAACAGTCATTGGCATCTTCAACAAATGATGGGGGTGTGTTAGAACCAATCTTCACGTATTTAAATCGTCGCTTTCGATGGCTGATCGTGTAAAGCTTTATTTGTGCTCTGCTCCTAGAGTTGTGGATACAAGTAGCCAGCGCTTTTTTTCTGTGCGCTTTTGTTCTGAAGTACTACAGTGTCAGAGACGGAGATAAGGTAGCGGCCGTCACCAAATAGTGTTTCTCGATACTATTGATACCTGTACGCGGATCGTGGCGTTTTCTTCCCTAATTTACGTTCTATGTGGTTTTAATCGGGTATGTGTATACCCTTCTTTTTTTTTCCTCACAAATTTGTAGCGCACATGGTCCATTCAGTAGTATTTGTGTTTTCAAGCACATTTGTGCTCGTTCCGTGATGACTGGCTCGGTGTGATGTCGCTTTGTTACATCAAATTCGCAGGCCAAATTTTATGCAATTGTTAAACAAATCAAAACCACCTTAATATATATTGATTCCACATGCGTGTATCACCTTAACTGATGTACTCAACACGGTACACCGATACATATTTTGTAGTCGACCGAAATGTAGGTTCGAACGCCGCCACGAGTGCTCAGACCACAATGACTCAATCTGGATGTGTTATCAATGTGGTGGACTTGTTTTTGTTTGACAAGTCGTGTGTGAAATCAAGCGGCCCACCTGATGTGGACTTTTCGTGCTTTAGAGGTGCGAGTGAGCCCACGCCTGTTGTTGAGGGCAAGGCCTGGTTAGGGGCAACGACGGCAGAGTGCAAGGACGAAGAAATTGAGCAGGTATGGGAGAAATGTCAATTTTAGGGTTGGGTTGTACTTGGGTTTGTGTGCTATATACTTCCATATTTACCGCATATTAGCACTTATGAATATGTGCATATACCCAATATTGCTAGTATGTTTACGTAAAGAATCGAAGTGTATTATACGTTGCATTCATTGGTTTTGACTTCCATTTATGTCTGTCTCAATTCTTGTTAGTGGAGATTCGAGCTTGTTGGGTTCATCGCTAGACTTGACCGGCTTCATGAAATCTTGCTTAAGTGTCGGTCCACGCCCGACGCAGTACTTATTTTGCACACTCGCCTTTCATTATGGTCACATTGTGATATCTTACAATGTTTCACTACTCATACGCTTCGACACGACACAAATGTATCGGATTTAATCTTCTACGAATGATTTCGTGCATATGTAATGTGTATGTGCGTTCTGTATGCGTGTGTGCATATCGTATATGTATGTGCACGTGTGTGTAAGGGTGTGCATCGAGACGTGTTTATCATCTGAATCATTACATATTTGAATGTGTGTGCGTATGTGTTGTATTTTTTATATTGTTACATTATTATTTCTTTATAA